CCTCCACCTCCACCTCCACCACCTCCACCTCCACCACCTCCACCTCCTCCTCCACCTCCACCACCTCCACCACCACCACGCACAAGCCAAGGGGTTCTCTGACCTTAGGAAGCACCTACCTGGGGCATGAAGTCTGGCTCCTTCTCTTGCAGCCGCTGTACCAACTCCACCAGGAAGGGTACCTCTCGGAAAGCCAGGAAGCCTGACACATAGGGGGCCTTCAGGCGAACCATGTGGCTGTCCTCATACACCACCTGACAGCAAGGCCCATAGGTACAGGTTGGACACTGGGTGCAACCACCTGTTCCACTTCATCCCTCTGCCTCCTACCCATGGCTCCCATGGCAGCCTCACCTGTGGCCAGGATGAGACCAGGTTTGAAAGTTGGGACAAAATGATTCACCTGCAACTGGGTGGCGAGTAGTCAACTTAAATTTCATCCTACAGGTACTTGCTTGGGACCTGGCATGGATGAGGACCCCCATGACCTAGTGTACACGGGAACACCTGTAGGCTGTAGTGTGGATGAGGAGCACCATCACCCCTGTCTCATCTCTTTCAGGAGCTTGGCTGAGGTGATGGCCAGCCTCAGGCCTACCTCCCCTCATACTCCTGACTCATTCCTTGTCAGCGTGAGCTGACCACCTGCATGGATGTTGGAGGCTCAGAGTAGAAGGCTCCGGGAGAGTAGGCTGTGGACCTGGGCTGTTCACCTTAGAAGGACCATGGGGAAAGGCCAGGCAAGTAGGACAGGAGCCTGCAGAGTCAGGGAAGCCGCAAAAACAAGAGCCCCAGAGAGTGGGGGCTCAGGAAGACAAACAGACTGAACCTGATACATCGCTGTAGGGCACTCAGGATAGTGGCCCTTGTGCATTCTATGAGGAAACGGGAGACCCCAGAGCGCTTCATAAAGGGCAGCTCTCTTTCTTAGGTCTTCTCTAGCAAAAACACTAGTTTCCAAACTAAAAGCCCCTATGGGTACCAGAAGGCAGCCAGCTAAAACCCAACAGAGCACTATGCAGCTCAGGATAGGGCTCTGCACACAGCACAAGGTGACAAAGACTCACTGGCCTGCCCTGGAGACCCACTCCTACTGTGTCCATGTTCTCCAGAACCTTCCATGGCCCAGGCTCTTGATGAGAATGTCCAGATCACAATTCCCATGGACCCAAGTGCACCTAGAGAACTGGCTATTGGTAGGTGATGGGGCTTGGACTCCTAACATTTTCAACAATGGCTCCAAGTGGGGCATTCACTCAGATTCTGACTCGGCCAGCAACAGATGGAGACCACTATAGAAAAGCACAACTGATCACAATCCCAGTCCCAACCAACAGATACATCTGCACCGCGCTCCTGCACCTAGGGCTCTGGGACCTGCACCGCGCTCCTGCACCTAGGGCTCTGGGACCTGCACCGCGCTCCTACACCTAGGGCTCTGGGACCTACAACGCGCTCCTGCACCTAGGGCTCTGGGACCTGCAACACGCTCCTGCACCTCATGTGGGATTCCACTCTGTATGCTATGAATATGTTTTATTACCATTGATTATTAAAGCTCTTTTGGCCAATGACTTGGTAGAATAAAGCCAGGCGGGAAATCCGAACAGAGATATAGAGAGAAAGTAGGCGGAATGAGGGAGACGCCATGTAACTGCTGAAGGAGAAAGATGGATGCCAGGTACTTGTCAGAACTTTACTGATAGGCCACACCCTCACGGTGATTCACAGATGAATAGAAATGGGTTAATTTAAGATATAAGAGTTAGCTGGGGGCTGGAGAGATGGCTCAGTGGTTAAGAGCATTGCCTGCTCTTCCAAAGGTCCAGAGTTCAATTCCCAGCAACCACATGGTGGCTCACAACCATCTGTAATGATGTATGGTGCCCTCTTCTGGCCTGCAGGCATACAAGCAGACAGAATACTGTATACATAATAAATATTAAAAAAAGAAAAGATTTATAAAAAAAAAAAGAGTTAGCTAGAAATATGCATGAACTATTGGCCAAACAGTGTTGCAATTAATACTGCTTCTGTGTAGTTATTTGCATCCAGGCGACTGGGAAACCAGCAAGCAGTCTCCGTCTATATGTGCCAAAGGCTCCAAAACCACCATAGAGGAGGGGGTGGGAGGACTGTAAGAGTCAGAGGAACAAGGCATCTGCCGTGAGACTGTGTCTCCTAGAAATGCCAGAAGCTGGAGCCCTGAATTCTTACCATCATGGCTGCCTAAGTGACTTGAACATGAACCACACCAACGGACACGCTAACTTGGATGGGGAAAGCTGTGGCCTCAACCCTAGACAAAGAACTGCAGGCAACTGAGGAGTCCTGAGAGCAGGAGAAACAGTCTTCTCCAGGGAAGAGCACACCAATGGGCAAACCCTGAATCATACACATAAAATGTAACATTATACAGAGGGCGGAAAAGAGGGATGGGAGGGCCTGGAGGGAGGAAAAGGAAAGGGGAAAATTTGTAATTATAGTGTAATATCGAAAAATAATTAAGAGAAAATGCTAACAGTGTGCCTTTTTGGGGGTGTGTGTGACAGGGTTTCTCTGTAGCTTTGGAGACTGTCCTGGAACTTGCTCTGTAGACCAGGCTGGCCTCAGAGATCCACCTGTCTCTACCTCCCAAGTGCTGGGATTAAAGCTTTGAGATACCACTGCCTGGCTGCTATCAGTGTCTTAAGCTGCACTTTGACAAACATGTGTTGATATGAGATGGATCCATGAGCCTAATTGCACTGGGGTGGACTCTAATTGCTGGACTGTGTTTAGCTCCAGGTTCGAGGTGCAGAAGATGGACCCTGCTGACAGCATCACTAGGGGCAACCAGCAAATGAGGCAGCATAAGCTACGGTGCTCTTCAGGATACGGCAAACAGGAAGGAGCCAAGAGTAGAAGAGCGGGGAAGGCACCTTCCTTCTATGTGTGCTGTGTGGACAATGAGCGAATGACAGAGAAGTCTCTTCTTCCTGTGGAAAAGGACACGCTTGCTACAGAAGGCTAGCTGTGGAGGCTGTCCCATAAGGCTGCCACCTGTCAAGAACGCTAAGTAAAGAATTCCTGACTGTAAAGGTGGACTGTTAATTCTCCAACCAAGCTTTGCTTATGGGAAACCAACTGTGGGGACGGCTTTCCCCAGGAAATGGGCTGTGGCTCTGGAACTGTGTTTAGCAGCATTAGTGTGATACTCTACAAAACTCCTCGGGAAAGCGTGTGAGTCAGTGAGTTTTGAGGCTTTCACTATTATTCTAATCTAATTTAAAATATATATTTATTGTATGAGTGTTTTGTGTGCATGTCTGTAAACATATCATGTGTGTGGTGCCCATGAAGGCCAGAGAGGGCCATGGAATCCCCTAGAAACGGAGTTACAGACAGCTGTTAGATGCCATGTGGGTGCTGAGCACTGAGCCCAGGTCGTCTGTAAAAGCAAATGCTCTTAACTGCTGAGCAATCTCTTCAGCCCCATACCCTGAGTTTAGACCATTTCCTCCACCCCACACATCATCCTGGTCCTAGACAGCAGCTACACCCTATGCAAACCATGCTCAGCTTTAGTGTGATGATCAACTCTGGTTAGACTTAGAATTCCTTACGAGGGGCTGGAGAGATAGCTTAACGGCTCTGAGCACTGGCCGCTCTTCCAGAGGTCCTGGGTTCAACTCTCAGCACCCACATGGAGGCTCACAACCACAATGTTCTATAACTCCAGTTCCAGGAATCAAACACCCTCTTCTGACTTCCATGGATGTCAGGCCTCCGTGGACATCAGGGGTGCACATAGTTCACAGACATACACATAGACAAAATACACACATACAAATAATAATAAAATATCATGCAGGAGACAACCTCTGGGTACATCTGTGAGAATGTTTTCGGTGAGGAGCAACTCATGAAGAAAAATCCACCCTGAAAGTGGGTGGCACCGTTCCATGGTCTGGGTCCGGAACCGAATAGAGAGCGAGCGCTAAACAATAATGTTCCATTTTCTCTGCTTCTTGCTTACTGTGAACAAGCAGCCTCATGCTCCTGCCACAGGGGACTGAACCTCAAACCATGAGCAAAATAAATCCTTAAGTAGTTCTGTCATGTCTAAGTAACTGATGTGCTCAGGTAACCATGGATCTACATCCTTCAGGAGCGTGCCTATGCAATCAACAGCCCTACACACTTCCAGGTGAGCCATAGTCAAGCAACTGGGAACCACCCAGCCACACTCTTCCAATACCCTTCCCTGACTTAAGACTACAAGAAGCAAATGCTAACTGGATGCTCAGGCACAGGGGCTCTGCTCAGCGCTGGGTTACAACTCACCTGTGGAATACCACCACCCCAGAGAACCCTCAGGGAGGGAAGATGGAACCCTGCCTGGTGGGCTCCACACGGGAGGCAAATATGACAGCATGTGCCCTGAACAGGGCTTAGGGCCTCGAGTCAGGGTGTTGAAGTCTGCGGGGGGAGAGCTGAAGATGGGATTCTGTGCCAGCTGCTTCCCACACAACTTACACACGTTAAGGGTTGGCGCTAATACTGTTGCCTTCTGTTGCTCTGATAAAATGCTCAGCCCAAAGCAACTTGGGGAGCAAAGGGCTGATTTCACCTTACACCTTCAAGTCACAGTTCGCCACTGAGGGAAGTCAGAGTGGGAACTCAAGTGTGAACTGAAGCAGAGTCATGGGGGATGCTGCTTCCTGGCTCATTTGGCTCTTTTCAGTCCAGGCCCATCTACCTAGGGACAGTGCTGCCCACAGTGGGCTGGGCCCTCACCTCAATAATGGGTCAAGACAATCTCTTACAGACATGGCCACAGGTCAATCTGATTGAAGCAATTCTTCTACCTTCCAAGGTGACACTAGATTGTGTTGAGGTGACGATAAAAACTAACCAGGACAATCTTTCTCACGAGGTCAGATGGAGACAGAGGCCCAGAGTATCCACAGGAGCCACCTAGTGCTGGTGTCTCTGCTCTTACCCCGCACTCTTAGAGAACAATCAGGGACCCATAGGGACATGAGCCCCAGGTCCTTCTCACTACACACCCCGCTCCGAGCACGGTAGGCATTTGTGTTGAGCTGGAACTTAGAGGCCATCAGGGGAAGGCACAAAGCCAGAGTCAGGAAGAGTCTGTGGCTTCTGGAGGAGAGGTGATGGGGCTGCTGAGGCTGGGGTGTGGCCAAGGCTTCCTGAGATGCTGAGTGTGGATGAACCACAGGCTGCTCATGCGTGCACACACATGATCTATGTACGCAGGATCTGATGAACCAAAGGCTGACTGCTCATGCATGCACACACATGATCTATGTACACAAGATCTGATGAACCATGGGCTGACTGCTCATGTGTGCACAAACATGATCTGATGAACCACAGGCTGACTGCTCACACGTGCACACACATGATCTATGTAGAGACGCAAATGATGGCATCAGAATTTACACTCTGGAGAGGGGACAGGCTAAGTTCACTTCAGTATGTCGGAGCTGAGAGGGTCAGGGTTGCTATGGTTTTAAGTTTTAACCTACAAGGTGACTGAATGAAGTGGGAAGCATTGGGAGAACACAGGGAGAAGGGCCTATGTGAATCCAGAGGTCTCACGAGACCTCAGTCTCACTTGATTCCTTGACCTAGAACTTACAGCCTTCACAACTCTGAGAAACACTCTTGTTTACACGCTACCCAGCCTGACGTGTTCTGGTCTATCAGACAGAGACTGTCAAAGGCCACAGAGACACAACTCCAGTGTTGTGGGATGAAGGCTAATAAAGTTCACATTGCTAATGGGACGTCAAGGCCTGTTTTGCGCTGTTCCCTGCTTGATGTGACCCTGTTAGTTCACCTTCCACCACTGCCCTCAGTCACTCCTAAACACTGTTCCTTATGGCTTTAAATCTCCCAGCAGGGTTCTGATAGCCTTTCATGCCTGCTCCTACAGTGATCCTCACCTGGCTGGCTCCAACTTTAGAACCCAGTTTAGACAGTACTTACTCTAACGAGCCTTCTTCACCCTAGGAAGGCTGAGACTTCCTGCTTGGGCAACCTGAGGTGCGTGTTGTGGGCCACTGAGGGAGCAACCCAGGACACCAGACTTAGAATTGTCTGTTGATCCTCAAGAAATGTTTTTAATTTGTGTAGGTATGTGTGGGCCTGTGGGAGTTTTTATACACCACAAACATGCTGGAGCCCACAGGGGCCAGAAGTCCATTTAGATCTTCTGGAGCTGGAGTTAAGTGTAGTTGGGGGCAGCCTGATGTGGGAGCTGGAACTGAATCTGGATCCTCTGCAAGAATAGTGTTCCCACTTAGCCGCTGACCATCCCACCAACCCTCTGTCCACTGATTCTTCAAAGTTACACTATTTCCTGAGGTTTTAGCCTTTTAAAAATACACTCCAACCTATACATTAAATTCTATAAATGAAATGGAAGTTTATTGATCCCTTTGCATGTTTGAGGTCCTGGGTCGGCTTTAGGATCAAAAATTAAAAAAGATACTAAAAAATTCAAAGGGCGCGGGGGTGGAGAAGAAAAGAAAACTTTTACACAACTGCACCCAGGCTCTGATCGCTGTCTCGGGATCCAGCCCCTTTGGGTGCGCAGCCTACGAGAGCGGTTACCTCGAGCTCTGGGTAGCTCAGCACCACCAGGGAAGCGCAGGCCCGGGAGCTCTCCCCGTTTACGAAGGACACGTCCAGGCCCCCGACCCTCTGCAAACCCGAGAAGGTAGGGTCCCGCTGCCAGGCCTCCGTGTCCCGGACCACCACGCGCGTCTTCAGCCGGGCTTGTTCCCTAGCGGGGCACAAACATCGAAACGGGCTCAGGGCCCTCGGGACAGCCCGACCCTCGGGGCGGCCGCCCTCCAGTCCACCCCAATCTCCTTTCTGCCCATCAAGCCAGGATGAAGGAGGAAAGCTCTCCACGACCCATGCGGACCAGAAACGCGGGCCACGCCCACAAAGGCAGGGGGCAACTTCCGGCAGCGTGGCGGCCCCGGGCCTGAGGTGCAGCGGGTGTTCGGTTTCACAGCTGCACAGGGGCTGTGAGGCCGGAAAGTCATTGGAGAAGCCACCCCCATGGCTACTGCGGGCCCCGACCCCATTACCGTTCCCAGAGCAACAGGGTTTCCTCCGGTGGCCGTGCTGCGGCCTCTAGAGCCATGATTGGGCCCTGTCGCCTTTCGTGACGTCACTTCCGGAGCGCCCCGCACGGAGCGGTTAGTCTTCGCCGCGTTCGTCGCGTCAACTGTGGTGGCCGCCGCCAGGGGCCGCTGTCCCCGCAGCGCCGGCCGTCGGGGCGCCTCAGGCCGCTGTCCCCGCTGCTCTGGCCGCCGCCAGGGGCCGCTGTCCCCGCAGCGCTGGCCATCGGGGCGCCTCAGGCCGCTGTCCCTACCGTGGTCACCGCTCGGTTTCGGAAATGCGCACTCGCGCTGCGCTCTCCGTGCCTCGGGCCTCCAGGGCAGCATTGGCCGCACTCTGGCCGCGGTTCCTCTGCATCAGGTCCGCACTTGCGCCCGGGCACAGCTCGCTGAGCAGACCGCCTCTCTGTAACCTTTAGAGGAAAGGAAGAGGGGACACCTTTGCTGTAGATTCTCCCCAGCTATGTCGGCTGTGAGGCGCCCTCAGGCCGAAATAACAATTCAAAAGATCAAGGAACGCGAGGTTCTCGGGCCAGGGTGGCGCACATCTTTAATTCCAGCGCTGAGGAGGCAGAGGCAGGGGGGGTCCTCTTGTGTTCAGACCAGCCTGGTTTACAGAGTGAGTTCCAGGACAGCCAGGGCTACGAAGGGAAACCCTGTCTTGAAAAAACAAATACATAAAACTCTCTTGCAGACTGTAAGTGTTAGAGGTCTGAGGGGAATGACTGCCCCATGGGGGAGAGGGCAATGCGCCCCAATGCAAGTGTTTGACGCTGTTTTAGAGAACCACAGCGACAGGCATAGGGGCGAGGAGGGTGGCTGAGCAGAACTATAACACTTGCAGTGGGGTAGCCTGGGCTTTCAGGAGCCAAGGAATACCACAGAGTCACACTATATATAAATAATCTCACGTAAGAGATTTATTGGGAGGGGAAGAAAACTCAGGAGGGCAGCTGCCTCTGCTCCAGTAAAAAGCAACAGAGATATGAGCAGAAGACAGGGTTTATAAGGAGGTTCTGGGGGCGTGGGAGGCTATCACGATTTTGGGATTGGTTGGATTTTTATTTTTCTGTAGGGACGGGCCTGGCCACTCTCTCTCTCCCCTGGAGGAGCTGGGAATGGTTGTTAGAGAAGTCTGGGGAGGGGCCTGGCCTTCGGAAGTCCTCAGGCTCTTCCTCTGGAGGAGTCAGACCAGAGCAGTCAGAGATGGCGCCTGGCCTCAGGAGGTCACTAGGGGCAGGGCTTACAGGGGTCTCTGAGAGCAGCAAGGGAAGCTGTCCTGTGCCAGAGTTGGCATAAATAGCTGACCCAGACCAGGGTGTGAATGGTCAGGGTTCTCTAGGGGAACAGAGCAGATAAAATGAAAATACACAAAGGAGATTCAGAACTGACCATGGAGAGTGAGGGTTAGCAGGCAAACGCAATAGCTTCCTCCTTCTCTGTCACCAGAAGGTGTGGTCCAGATTTAGGGTGGGTCTCTGGACCTTGGATAATCCAGTCAAGGAAGTCCCTCACAGGTCTGCCCAGCTGCCTGGGTTTTAGTTGATTCCAGATAGAGTCAAGATGAAAACCAAGAGTAGCCACCCCAGGGAGTCAACCCAAAACAAACCAAAATTGCCTAATGCCTGACGATTTGGTGCAGAACTGTAGTTTTTCTCTTCCTAACCTCACTTCTCTGCCCCATTGATTCCCCACGGGATGGGCACTTGAGGGTACAACCTTCCTGTGTCTGGTACAGTCTTTGACCCAAATGCCCATTCTGTCGGTTCAGGACACAGAACCGTATGTACTGTGTGTCCCTCCCTCTTCATGATATGAGCTCAGCAGACTGGAGATTTTTACAGATTTATTTTTATTTGTGGAAGTCTGTCATGAGTGCAGGCGCCTGTGGAGTCCAAAGGAGCTAGAGCCCTGGAGCTGGAGTCACAGGAGACTGAGCCTCCTGGCATGGGTGCTAGGACTTGAACTTGGGTCCTGTGAAACAGCAGTGCACACTTTAGTTCCTGAATCATCTCTCTGGCTCTGGACTGCAGTTTTGTTGGTTTCCCTTAAGACAAGTTAAAAGAGCCTATGCAAGCAGGCGCCAGCTGGAAGGGCTGGGCTTGGGACTTCTTGCTTAGTTATGGTCTGGTAAACCTGAGCAAATCTAAGGCACTTCCTTTGGAAATAGACGGTTCCTGTTTTATTTCTTAGATCAGTGCCTCCTCATTGCTCTTTCTGCGTTGTGGTAGATGCTGGCGATGAGCTGGGAACAAGAAGATGGGAGGGTATTGCCACTGTGCTGTGCTGGTGTGCGGGAAAATAGTAAATACACTCGGGAAGAGGACTTTGAACTGGAGGTGGGGTGGCCTGTGTGAAGTGATACTTAGGGGACCTGAAGGTTGCTCCACTCCTCCATGGACTCGGGCGTGGGTTGTCATTTTCTTCAGTGGCATGGCCACTGTTAAGTTGCCTGTGATTCAGTAAATAACCTCCCACCCCCTCTCATGCAAGCAGCCACACACAAAAGACACGGGCAAGTAGGAGAAGACTTGTTGGGGAGACGGGTTTCAGTCGGGGAGGAAGGGGTGAGAGAGGGTAGTGGGGGATGAGAGGACCAGAATTCATCAAAGGAGAGGGATTGAGTGTGGCAGGCAGAGGGGACAACAGGCGCAAATGTCCCAGGGTAGGAGTGCGGTGGCGTGTGAGGCAGCAGCTGAGGTTGGGGTGACATGGGCTGACCGTCACCAGGGGAGTTCAGACGTATACACCTAAGTCGTGTAGTCTGAAGATACCTTTCACGAGGGAAATAGAAAAGACGAGGTTAGACCAAATTTGAGTCTGTGATTGGGGAAAGGCTTCCTCTAACACAATTGGCAGGACCTTGAAAGCGGTTTCCAGGGGAGAGAAAGCCTGGTTCCTCCAGAATCACTGAGCGCAGGCACTGTGCTTTATTTACCTGCCCTGTCTTCTCTTTCCACAGAACAGAAGGCATTTTGCAGAGGCGGAAGCTGCAGGGTGAAGAGGTCACATGACAGGCCTGTAGTCCCGGAGCTGGCAGGCAGGAGGGCCAGCACCAGTACTCAGGTATGCCACCTGGCTTTGCTAGAGTGGCCGGGGAAAGCATTTG